CATTTAGTGGACTTTATCCGTACTTTCTTTCAACCCATGCATAAAAATATATCACTACTGATATTGACTCAAGGAGAGAAAACAAAAAATTAGCAAAAATAGGCAATGTGCACTAAGCTTTAAACAAAAGGAAATTAGTTTTATAATTTATATGTATGAAGAATGATATCTACACCTTAAAAAATGGTTATCAAATCTTCAAAAATATTTAACCAAATATTTTACAACTGTAGATATAGATACCTTAATATCTTGCCAGTTTTACCAATCATTTATGAAGTAAAAACTTGTTTGCATCCATACTACTTTTTCAAAAAGACTACAAATTCAATGCATTTTTTTCTATAAAGAAGCCAAATACATTCAGAGTTTAAACATGAATATTAGAAAATTGTATATCAAATATATTATGTGTAAATTAGATTATAGTTGAGCACTGTATCTATATTAATAACCTTAATCTAACATTTAATTTTTTGTTTTTACAGTTATATTCAAGAGAAGAAGACAGAAAACAGAACTGAATCATGCATACGTTTTTGTATGTAAATGTATATTTTTTTAGAGTTAAGAAAGTCTTGTTACTAGTAAAGAGCATTTGTATTTAACATGTATAATGGTGTCTATTTTTTATATATGTGAGGATTTTTCAAAATATATGACTTGAAAAGTATTTTTGTAGTTTGTACTATACACAAGCAATTACATTTGAAATATAAAAAAAAAGAAAAAAAATAAAGTAGGAAAGATGCTGCTTCTAATTATTTTTAAATGAAGACATACAGCATGTAAGACAACAGGCTGGGTAAGGCAAGGTATTCCACACAATAAGACAGATCTTATTCACAAGCCATTGAATGCAAGACTGGATCTAAATTATATTTGTATCTGAATATTAAGCCATAAACAACCAATCTTCTTCAAGTAAGACACAAAAAATAGTATTAGATAAAATTGAAAATACAAAGGTTTCAAGAACCACACAACAAATTTTGAGAAATGAAATCAAAGGGAAAATTATAGAAAAAACATATTTTTACTTTCATGTTTGAATAACAAAGCACAAGACATTTGATGATAAAGGAGGTATAATATGGAGGCAGGAAGGGGTAACAGGAAAGAGGTTTGGAAAGAGGAAAGGAGAGACTGAATTTTGGGAAAGTTTTGGCAGAAGTATTAAATGAATGACTCATATGAAACATATTCTTTCTCATCTGATGAAATGGTGAATCTAATTATACAACTTCAATTAAATAAAATTTATTTACAAAATATAAGTAAAAAAATTGTTTCAGAATCCATAATATAAAAGAGATATTCCATCTAAACTTTTTTTGTTTTTATTTAAGGCAGACCCCAGTATTTGGCATAAAAATAGTACAGTTTTAAATACTTACTTAGCATATTTTTATACTAAAACCTGAGAAGGTAACTTTATATTTTCATATATAAATACCCTATAGAACTTGGGCCTGTACCATAGAAACAGAGATTGTATTAACATTCAGTAAACACCAAAATTCTTAGATAGGCCTGTGACTTCTCTTATATATTATGATATTTTTAGTAACTTTCTTCCAGACACTATCTTGTTACAAAATCTATCAATACATAAGAGAAACTTGTAATGGTATAATGGAAGAGCACAATTTATTTTGAAATGCTTAGAAAAAAACATTTTACAAACAAGACACTGACAGACTAAAGAAATAATAGTGAAATACTGGAATAAACAAATAACATTTTTCACGTAAATACTACAAACCCAAACCTTTCTAAAAATACATGTATTGTATTACACATAGTAAATATATAAAGTATAAGGCATTGGCACCCATTTGATGGGCAGTGTCATTGCTCTTAATAAACTAAATCAACTGTCATCCACTGAACCAGCATCACATCTGCCTTGTTTAGATGAATATTTGGTATTTTATGAATTTACTTTACATCAGACACCTAGTATTTTTATAAACAGGTACATATTGTAATGAGTGTGTAATATGAAATGTATTCTCTATACACACTGTAAAAGTTTTAAAATAAAAGATAATATGAATCCCATGTTGAAGAAACAAGTAGAAAGGAAAATAATATGTATTTGACAAACTTGTGAAAACACATTTTTAAAACCTTCAACATGTAATAGCTCATGGATCCGAATAAAATAAAGTGGCACTTACAATATCAGTGTCTCACTCTCTAGTATATGTATATATAATCTACAATAAATATCTTAAAAATTTAAAGAAAAATGTCTTAATGTTGAATATTAACTTTAGCAACACCAGAACCACTTTAATCTGCTTCTATTTACCGCTGGTCTTCAATTTAGCAAACTCTGTACTGAGGATCTTCATGACATCAGCATGCTTTAAGTTATCCCTTGACTTCTTGATGGAGCCGTAGTTTTCCTTGACGAACAGTGCAAAGGCCCCAGGCGTTCTTGGGGTCTTAGGGGGTGCCTGTGAGGGTGTACCACCTCCAACTCCGCCTTCCGACCCCTGCGATCTGCCTCCACCTCTGCCTGCCTGGCTATTCACAACCAGTTCAAATTTACCGTAACAATAACCACACACTTTGCGGTCCGTGTCGAGACTCTTGGAGTGACGGCCAATGCTGCAAAATAAGCATATCAGTTTAAAAGGGTGCTCACTAGAGGGGACCACTGAAGTAACCACTTAAGGTGGCTAAACAATGTATGTATCAAGGACAATTGGGCATGTCACAGGAGTCAAGAGAAAAAGAAAGAACAAAGAAATAATAATAATAATAATAAAAAATAAGTAAACTTGATTAACATACTTATTATAGCTATTGATGTACACCTAATAAGAAATTCAATTATTTCTAACAGGCTGAAATTATTATATAGCCATTTGAAAGTTTTCAATAACTTAACCCAATGACGCCAGGGAAAATGAACAAAAAATGGAGAAAATGCTGTGCCTATTTTCTATATTTCTTTGTGAAAGGTCTGCCCATAGATGGCTCTGCTAGTGCTTAGCCATAAAGGAGTCAATTGGTAGACCTTGTGACCATACCTGATTTGAAATGGTGGGAAAAACGTATATTTTACTAGTGCTATGAATATCGATGGTGTTATTTTTATTATATACATTATAATTAATATAATGTTTTTTTAACATTAGTAACAGCAATATAAGACAATGTAAAATATTTTGTAAATCAAAGAAAAGGGTAAACAGGCGAGACAGGCAGTACTCGTAACTGGCTCATTGGTGATTTAGTACAAGTGTAGCCATCTATGTGTTAAAACAATCAAACAAGTACTCACAGTGGGTATAGCACGTACGTACACGTCATACCCATCGGCATTGGGTTAAACTACTCAATTTCTTATTTCTAGAATTAATATTCATGCAGTTAAACACTCAAACAGGAGGAGGCGCATAAAAATAAAGAAGAGGAATGTTTTGGTTCCTCTTGCTTTGTGAGTCACAACAAACTATGGACCACGACATACCTGTAGGAACAGCGGGTGCATCTGTAGGTATATTTACAGGCTATTTCATAGGAGTGACATCGGCTGATGGCAGGGAGTTCGGGAAAGGCCATTCTAGCTTTTGCTGCCCTGATGTAAGAGAATGTCACCTTATTATTATTATTATTATTATTTTTTTTTTTTTTTTTTTTTTTTTTTTTTTTTTGGATAGGTGAATATAATATCAAGATCATATGAACAGAGAGGGAGAGGAGAAGAGAGGGGAGAGAGAGGAAGGGAGAGGGGAGAGAGAGAGGAAAGAAGAAAGGGGAGAGAGGGGAGAGAGAGGAGAGGATATTTGAAAAGAGAAGGAGAAAGGAGTGGAGAGGAGAGGAGAGGAGAGGACAGGGTAGGGGATGGGAGAGGAGAGAGAAAGAAGACAGAAGAGAAAGGAAGAGAGAGGAAAGGAGAGAGGGGAGAGAGAGGATAGAGAGAGGATAGAGAGAGAGAGAGAGAGAGAGAGAGAGAGAGAGAGAGAGAGAGAGAGAGAGAGAGAGAGAGAGAGAGAGAGAGAGAGAGAGAGAGAGAGAGAGGGGGGGGGAGAAAGAAAGAAAGAAAGAAAGAGAGAGAGAGAGAGAAGAGGAGAGCAGAGAGAGAAGAGGAGAGCAGAGAGAGAAGAGGAGAGCAGAGAAAGAAGAGGAGAGCAGAGAGAGAAGAGGAGAGCAGAGAGAGAAGAGGAGAGCAGAGAGAGAAGGGAGAAGGGAGAGAGGAGTGAGAGAGAAGAAAGGGGAGAGGGGAGAGAGAGAAGAGAGGGGAGAAGGGAGAGAGAGAAGAGAGGGGAGAGAGAGAGAGAGAGAGAGAGAGAGAGAGAGAGAGAGAGAGAGAGAGGAGGAGGGGAGAGGATAAGAGAGAGAGAGAAGAGAGGGGAGGAGAGGAGGGGAGAGGATAAGAGAGAGAGAAAGAAGAGGAGAGGAGAGTAGAGAGGGAAGACAGAGAAAGAAGTGAGAGAGAGACAGGATAGGGGAGAGAGAGGAGAGGATAGGGGAAAGAGGAGAGGATAAGAGAGAGAGAGAAGAGGAGAGGAAAGAGGAGAGAGAGGAAAGGAGAAATAAAGAGGAGAGACAGAAGAAGAGAAGGGAGAGCAAGAGAAGAGGAGATGAGAGGAGAGAGAGGGGAGGAGAGGGGAGGGGAGAGGAGAGAGAAGGGAGGGGAGAGGAGAGAGAGGGGAGAAGAGAGGAGAAGAGAGAGAGAGAGAGAGAGAGAGAGAGAGAGAGAGAGAGTGGGGGGAGAGGAGGGGAGAGGAGGGGAGAGGAGGGGAGAGAGAGGGGAGAGGAGAGAGAGGGGAGAGGAGGGAGAGAGGAGAGAAGAAGAGGGAGAAAGGAGAGAAGAAGAGGGAGAGAGGAGAGAAGAAGAGGGAGAGAGAAGAGAAGAAGAGGGAGAGAGGAGAGAAGAAGAGGGAGAGAAGAGAGAAGATGAGGGAGAGAGGAGAGAAGAAGAGGGAGAGAGGAGAGGGGGGAGAGAAGAGAGAAGAAGAGGGAGAGAGGAGAGGGGGGAG